GTATCGCGCGTTAGGGTATGGCTGGGCAAACAGCCTGATGGCACTGGTGGGCACGATGCTGTCCGTCACCTTGCCTGTGTTTCTATGGAAGTACGGCGCCAGGCTTAGAGCCAGGGCCGTATCGACTTACTAGGACACCTGTTATTGACGAAGGGAAACACGCTTGGGCATTGGCATGTTAAAGGGGTTAATACGTGCATTATCTCAAACATTAGCGAGCCACCGTGGTGCTCTGAACAGCCGCGCTGCCATCGTATGCCATGAAACCAGTGCCTTCGCGGCAACCAATGTACTCTGCTTGAACATCTCCACCCTTCAAGATTGACGTCTCCTCCCACAAAGTGATCTTCCCAACCCCGTTCCCCATCGGCCCAACCGGGCAGTACGCCTCCATCCACTTCTTCCTCAGCTTGACATGGCCCCTGTGCACACGCCCAGCCCGCTCAAACTTGCTCATGTCCATCCAATAGAACAGCTCAATCTTGCGGTTGTGGTTCAGATTGACGGGTCCTTCGTGGTCGCGGAACCGGCCGTGCTCCGGGACGTAGCCCATCCTGACGTCGAGCAGCCCGTTCGCGGCCGCGTTGTCGCCGAGGTGGTGCATCCATCCCGTCACCAGCTCATCGAACTCCTCGAACCAGTACGTCCTCTCCGTGGGCGTCATCGCGGAGTGGTCCTGCCCCTCGACGAGGAAGCAGATGTTGTCCGGCACCTTGGTGATGCTCGTGCGGCCCCGGCGGATTTCTTCTGACTCTGGCGTTCGCTCGGGCATCTCGGCCAGGGGCGAGGAGAACTTCTCATCCGCGGTGGCCTGGGCGAGGCGGTCGCGGAGACAGCCCCAGTAGCCGATCTTTTCGGAGAACATCTCCTTCTCCCCGAGGCCGTTGACGCCGTTCTTCAGGTCGGCGGTGCAGGCGTTTTGGGTGCGGCCGACGTCCACGGTCAGTGTCTCGCGCCACACGCCCGCGTCGTCGGGGAGGTTGTTCCAAAAGTCTTGCACGGGGCGGCTGGACCACCACTCGGAGTACGTCTCGGGATGCCAGTATGATAACCAGATCTGGGTGCCGAACGGCTTGTTCTTGGTGGGGTAGACGATGCGGTCGAGGTGTGCTTTGCCGTCGATCAGGGCGTCGAAGGACTGGATGAGGTCCAGCTGGCGGCCGGCGGGCTCATCGCCTGAGTACTGGACGCCGAAGATGCCGTAGATGAACTTGGCGCCTGGTTTGTGGGCAGCACGAGAAAACATGGTGAGGAATGAGTTTTCAGAATTGCCGAGTGTGATATGAACACAACTGCAGGCGCAAGACCTGGAGGTTTTACTTGAGATCTCCCACCGGATGACAGCTCCTCTAGTAGTCGACCATCCTGTTATTTATATTTCGTCTGATACCCGACGTCTCAGCCAGCCACGCGGAGCTCGTTGCATGAGACGAGGGGTAGACCGCCATTGCAGTTACATTGATGATCTGCAGTTGTATCTCATGTTCTGTTAGTCTATTGGGCGAAGAGCTGCAGCTTGGGATGCGTCAAGCTGATGGTCACACTCGGATTCCATCATAGCTTATCTTGGCCTTTCCAGAAGAATAAGGGTAGCCGTCAGCGAGAACGAGATATCGCCCAGCTGACCTTGATATGGTGCGCGATTGCCATCTTTCTTCAATGGAGACCTTCCCATAGGCCAGTCCTCATTCTTTCTACTGAAGTCCTAGCAAAGGTTTTGATTCCGGCTCGCTTTCCTATCATTAAGACTGCCTGATTTCCGCATATGCATCAGAATTCCGATTCCGCTCAGCCAATAACCAGCCGCATCTCAAGGTCCTGATTCCCCGCGGGAATCGCGGGAGATCATTAACCTATCTGTAATCAATAATCCAGCGCTCCCGGTTGGATCACACGATCTTCAGCGGGATTGTCAAAAGATTTTGAGTTTTACCCCAGACTCTACCTGCAGCCTTATCAGCCAGGGTCCCTGTACAATCGATGCGGCTGAGAGACCTCCGCACCAAGATGAGTCGAAGTTGACGGCGATAACGACTCGACAGCACTGACGCCGGCTCCGGCCCGGCCCCACTCGGGGCCACGTCTGCAAGTCCGTGGGTCGTTCATGATCGCCTCTTCTCTGGGAAAAGCTTAGTTATTCAAGACTATTTTTTCAAATGTAGGATCAAGGAAAGACCATTCATTCCGTAACGCGGCAACAATATTCCTGGTGGCGTCTGCTATCGTCTTAATCTTGATCGTCTCTGTCACTGTGCCAAGCTGAATGATGGGAATAAGTCTTCCATGTAAGCGCCAACTCATGAAGACCTAAGCAAGCCATTACATTCTTCCCGCATTTTTGTATGATGCGGATGACTTGGGGGCAAAATGAGATTGTCTTTTTGAATAAGACGAAGATAAAAACCAACTCAAAGCACTAATAGTTTCTCGAACTCCACTTTCTGCCCTTCTAGGGCCTCTCCATACATTATGCCATGTACATAAGCGTCGCCGACAAATGTCACAGTGTTTTCATCCTTCCCTGGCACCTGACGAAAAAGGTACGGTACTCTGCCCCCTTCAAGAATACACACTCTGTCTCCTGCCCTGGCTGTTCTCGGTCCTAGTCCGACATAGCCTCTGTCTGTCATGAATACACACCTCTCCTGACACGTACGTTCCCATAACATATGAAAACTTTGCCTGAAGCTGTCCATGCCATTTTTGAGGTACGCATCAGCTATATGCATGATGCACTCTCCCCGGAAACCCCGTTGGACATCCGCCCACGTATGTTGTCTCCGGCTGCCTGAAGAGATAGCCCTCGCGAACTCCGAGAACCCATCTTTGAGCATGAGGCCCTTCTTGAGCTTTTCCAAACTCTTTGAAAGGTTTGAAGGCAAAACATCCGCTTCGCCCAATCCTTCCTTGGCCAGAGTGACGCACGTTTGCTGGAATAGCCACTCCTGGAATTCAGATATCAACGCCTCTTGATCTAGGCATTCCTCTGGAATGTTTTCCTCGCCACTTATCAAGACGTTCATCAGCACTTGCGAGAGTGCCATCTGATATGTCGAATGGCCGGCATCCTTGCCGAGTAATATCTGCAGTATCTCCCCCAGGTGGCAATCTTCAGGCGATGTCCAGAAAGCGGGACAGCATACGTTGACGGTGTCGAACGTCATCCCATTGAATATGATGATTCCGGGATGATGTTTTGATATTACGTGCCAGAACTTTCGGTTGAGGTCTCCCGATGCCTTGAAGTGGCCCGTCCTTCTAAATATGGGGATCCACGGCACCTCTTGGGTGTAATCAGGAACCCAAGTCGGCAAGCCTTCAATTTGGCTCAGTGCTTGGTCACCTACCCAACCTAGCGGTTCGAGATCCTCCTCGTACGCAAAAAAAGAAGCGACAGCAGCCATGATAAATATGGTTGAGGTTTCAAGGGAGTAGCCTACTGGAAGAGGAGTATTATCTGAATTGGTCATTCCTATGAGTTCGTTAACATATTTGGATGGGCTAGTCGCCTCTTAGCCAGATATAGACAGCACTTACTACTAAGACCAAAAAAGCCATAGACCTTGTCCTTCGGATCAGTGGCAATTCGGCTGCGTGACTTTTTCATCATCATGCTGAGGTAGTTGTAGGGTGCCCCCGTTGAACGTCGAATATGCTTATCCCTCATATCAAGTGAGAATGTTTCGACCCATTCTGCGCCCGCTGTAGCATATAAGTCAGGCTTGGACGAGCCATATAAGCCAATCAGCCCGCGTATGAGGAAGCTCCCACCAAACATACAGTCGAAATCAATCCAGATGCCTCCCCATAGGAAGTTGAGATCGGCGGCCAGCAACATCTCTTGGAGCGTCCAGACTCTGCTAAACCAGCGAATGCCGACCAAGAAGTCCACAACGTGAATGGCTTCTTCGCTAGTAGAATGACGTTCCAATACTCTGGTTATCATTCGAGCCCTGATCTGCTCTGCATTCAGCGGAGTCCTCAATCTGACTTCCGCGGGAGCCATTCGCAGCCCACCCAGCTTCTCCATTACCTTGTTTGCATTGAGTTGCGGCTCTCCCAACCATACAATGACATCCACAGCATTCTGAAAGATTCGACCCATCTGGGCGACCTGAGAATTTCTCTCAGCAGTGTCTTTTTGGTTGATACAGATTGAATCAATCCAGACAGGGTCAGTCACTCCGACTTCCCTCAGAGATCGAAGTGCGTTCGAGAGATTAAGCCTGACAGCTTTGCGCACCCCATTCAACACCAACCATTCGGATTCGATTGTCCATTGGGGCCCGATATCTTCATGCCGGGGACCGTCCCACGTGTATGAAAGGCATCGGTAACCGGGTGTATCATTGAGGTCGACGACTCGAAGCTCGCCTTCGACAATCTGCGACGAAGAATCGCTTGGTTTGATCTGAAGCAGTCTGATACAATCCGCCGATGGAAGAGAACGATAGAGCGGTTTTGACATGGCGACAGCAAATTTTGGTGACACTTTAGAGAAACCTCTGAAGAGGGAGAACGAGATTCATGGTACGCAAAGCATGATGTCGCGGGTGAGATTGGTTGCCCGTTAGGCAGCGTACTTTAAAATGGCATGCGACTGCGTGAGCCATGTTGGTTCAGGCGGCGCTAATTTCCACCCTCCGATTCGTTCAGAGTCTCAATCGCAGAAGAGAAGACAGGGGGCAAAGACCGAAGACGCATAAATTTTGGCTGACGCCTGATTTTGTCGCACACAACAGTCACTTTTGTCCTGCCAGTCTATAAACTCTCACCGAGGTGGATCATGAAAAGATGATAATCAAACCCCAAACAAGCAATCACTTCAACGAGTCTACAACCAGAAAATAAACCTAGATGTTTATGTTTCAGATCCGAGTGAAGTTGCAGTTGTCCACCTGTCCCCTGAATGTGGTATCGTTGTTCAAACCTACACTCCCGCTCATAATATGTCAGGCTATTGTGACCAGTCGTCAGACAAGGGGAGAAGAAAGGCCTCCTCACACCTCTTCCCTCTTACCCTGCACCGTAACCCTCTCCACCCCAATCTCACTCTCCGTCCCATCCGAGTTCTCAATCACCTCCTGCACCTCCTCCCCGCTCGTGTTCCAGTTCCCAAACACCGCAAGCAGCGTGAACGGGATCGTGACGCCCCACAGCGTAAACCCCAGAATCATCTGGTTCTTGTTCGGCCAGTGCGTCGCGCCCACCGCATAGGCAATTGTGCTCCCGATGCTCTCCCACGAGCGCAGGATGCCCGTCGTGCGCGCGATGTCGCCGTCGCCCTGCGCGCCCTTGATCTCGGCCATGAGCCAGTAGATGTACGTCTGCAGCATCTCGTAGAAGAACTTGAAGAACATGTACACCGTGAAGGCGGAGTTGAAGAAGGCACCGTCCCCGAGGTCGAAGGACGGCGGGTCCGCCATCGAGGAGAGGCGCGTCTCGATGACGGCGTTCCAGATCCAGGCGGCGGTGACGAAGACGAGGATGACGAGGTAGACGGCCTTGGACTTTGCGGAGCGCTCGAGGCTTTTGACGTCGAGGATGGCGCCGGTGATGAGGTTGGCGGCGGCGCCGACGACGGCTGTGAGGAAGGAGGCGAGGGCGCGGGAGCGGACGGTGAAGTAGGCTGTGTGGATTTTGTCAGTGGTGTTGAGGAGATGGGTTCGGAAGAGAGATGAGACGCACTTGTGAGGTAGTTGCCTTGGTATGTGGTGCCGAACTGCCCTGCCAGGAAGACGGGGATGAGCAGCAGCATGTACTTGTTTCTCAGCTGCTTCCAGATCGCGCGGGCTTCGGTGGCGAAGTTGGTCTGCTTCATGTATGGAATCTTCGTGCCGTCTGTTCTGACGACCTTTTGCGGCTGGGAGAGCAGCAGCGCGAACGGGGCACCCAGGGATGAGATGGCAACGAGGCCCAGGTAGGTCGTGTATGTCACCTTGCCCTTCTCAGATGTCTTGATGTTCAGCGCCAGAGAGATTGCACCGCCGACGAGGGGGCCCATCTGGCGGATACCCATCCAGATACCAACATATCTAGATCGAAACAAGTCAGAAAGAGCTGCAATTTGTTTTTCAGTGTAAGAGCGCAAGACTCACCGGCCTCGCTTCTCCGCCTCGGGATATCCGACGGCAATGCTCGCCTCCGACGCCCATAGTAAACTAGCCCCTATGCCGCACAAGGCCGCGCCGAGCAACAGAAACCACTCGTTTCCGTAGCGGTTGTTGCAGTAGAGGCCGGCTGCGTAGGGCGTGTAGAAGGCTGCGCCGATGAACAAGGTCCACTTGGCTGTGAGCTTGTTCGTGACACCGCCGGCTATGAAGCAGCCCACGGACATGAGTCCGTATGTGAGGGCATTCGCGGCATTATTCAGGAACGGCTGTTCGATAAGTTAGTGAGTACGAACTCTTGAGGCTGGAAATGAACATCAGGAGCTGACCTTTGCGTTTCCTCCGGCCCCCAGGTTATTCAGCGCCGTCCAGATGCCTGGCTCGCAGAATGCCACGAGTCCGACGATGATGATTTGGAACAGGCATGACCGGTAGAACTGGGCAAGCTTAGCGAGCGCCATCTTGAAGTGCTCTCGTTGATTATCTCACGTACAAGAAACAAGGACAGTCACAGGCTACGTTAATCGATTCAATACGCAGGAAGTAGTACAGTTTAAACCTCGAGCAGCAATGGCACCGGACGAGCACGCCATGACCCATCGGGAATGCGATTTTACAAAGTTTTGCATCGATGTTGAGCAGCGCAGCAGAGATAACGAGAGTAGAGCACGCAATTGTTCGGAGTGGACACGGCGGGTATACAATAACCGCATCAGAGGCCTCGAATTTCGCATCCCCCTGATGAAGCGTGGGATCGGAGGTGGACGTGAACATGCACGCGAAATGTTAGCCTCAATGCTTAGATCCACTTCTACCTGCCGATAGATGTGATAAGATCAATTGGCCAACTGCATTGTTCTGCGGGAGAAGGATTTGGGGGCGATTGTCTCTGAGGGAAGAAACGGTCAGGGTTCGGGATCACGCAATGCCCCACGTGGATGGTGTTGAATATCCCCGAAGGCTAAGGCAGGTTGACGTTCTTACCACCTCCCATTCGTTTGAAAAGCCATCGCTGATAGTGAGCAATCGGATTTGGTGTCCGGAAACCTTGAAAATCATCAGGCAGGGATACGCTCATACCAAATAATCTCGCCACGTGCTGCCGGATACGGCCATTTGGGTGGTGTGTGACTAGCTGACGATTTGAGTCTCTGGGATCTTCGACACTTGCAACGACCGTGACTTTGCAATTAACGAATGTTCGTGAAAAGGGAAATCTTACTGGGCCTCGAAATGATGGCTAGCCCTTGTTAGGGGCGTCGAGGTAATTATATGGATAGTGAAAGCTAACTTCCATAAGCGTCTCTGAGTTTAGCAACACAGGTCCTTGAAGATGGGAAGCTTAGTACCTATGCTGTATACTTTCCATGGAAGTACTCAAATAGTAGTAGCTACGTTGTACTGACGAATGAGTTTCGAGTCTAGCTGAAGAATGCGTTTCTGGTTCTACAGCAAAGTCAAAGACATTAAGTTACCATTAGACGCAACTCGCCATTAGATACCTAGGAACTGTAGGATAAGATTTGCCTGCATAGTGCTATTCAAACTTCATATCAAAAGCCAAAAGCAATTCTCCGATGTAAAGAAGCTCATCTCCACAGCCTCACGGGCCGGTTTCCGCTGAATACAAGGGGAGGTCTTCGGGAACGGACTTCCAAATGTGGAGTCTTCGTGCCGAAAGTCTTCGGGACGTGGCGCCCCACGCCCGTTCGGTACCGTCCCGGTGGTTTACGTGGCCCGTTTGGGGGGGGGGTTGGACTTAGACTTCCCACGCGCAGCCGTGGAATCCATGGAATCCTCTCACCAACACACATTACGCAGTAGACCGCATCACCGAGAAATCCGGGGGTATCGGATTGATTCCGTCGGAAGCGCCTCACTTCGAAATTAGAATCAACTTCTCATCCAGTAACCCATCCGAGGAAACAAGAAGAAGCAGCAAACGTTTTTGTTTCGTTTCTTGCTATCGGCCCTATTTGATAATCATCCCGTCGTCCGTTCGATCGTCCCATATCTCTTGTAAGCAAAGCACCCCCATCCAACTATCTTGGTCTTGATAGTCTCACCTCACCACCCCCCGCGTAGTCCCACGCGACCAACGTCCATCCGTCCCACCCACCCACACTCGCCTTGCGCCAAGACAACGATCTTCATTCAACGGGGCATCCTCCGACTTTTACAAAAAAAGAAACAGAAGAAAAGACCGAAACAAAATGCCGTCGTTCCAAATCCGCCCCTGCACCCTCGCAGACGGGCCCTCCCTCGCCCGCAATAACATGTCAGCCTTCTGGACGGACCCGAACTGGATCCTGCTGTGGCCCAAACACATTACCCTCGACTTCCTGATCGAGCAGGCGGCTAAGCGGCTGCCGAACAACCTCCTCCGCGACCGCGACGCCCTGCGCCACGAGGTCGCCGTCGACCCCGCCACCGGCGCGCTGCTCGGCTACGCCCGCTGGGAGCTCCCCGCCGCCAAGACATCGACCTCGGGCCCGGACGGCAGCGGCCGGCCCGAGTGGGCCGCGGCGCAGATCCCGGACGTTAGCGCGGAGGAGAGGAAGGCGCTGAAGGAGAGGGCGGACGGGGCGTGGTGGGAGCCGATTGACATGGAAGGCATCGACGATGAGAGCGTCAAGGTGAAGGAGCGCATACTGGCGGAGAAGCCTTATCTAAGTGAGTCTCGTCTTTGGTTTGGCTGGAGAGTCTATTTTAATTCATTTCCAGGTCTGGACTATCTCGCTGTGCACCCGGAAAATAAGGGCAAGGGTATTGCTACAGCGTTAGTCGAAAGCGGTATCAGGCAGGCTGAGAAAATGGGGATTGATGTCTTCATCCTTGCCTTCCAGGCAGGTTTGAATCTGTACCTAAGACTGGGCTTCAAAGAGGTCGAGCGCGTCGTTCAAGATGACTCCAAATGGGGTGGTAAGGGTGAGTATACAGTGTATCTGCTTACCTACGAAGTCAATAAGGGCAGCAGTTGAATACATGTGCCATCGATCATTGAAAAACCAAGAGAAATCGAATTTGTACAATTTGTTCTTATACACCACAGCTACCTATTACCCTAAAACCTAGCCTCGACCTTCTCCTCGGTGTCCTGCAGCGCCCACTCGCTCTTCTTGGTCCTGCTCCTCACGCTCGCCGCCTGCTGCGCCGTGAACCCCTTGGCCTCCACGGCCGGGTTGTACCCGAGCTTGTTCACCTTCCCCACGGTGGCCGAGTCGACCTTGGGCGCCTCCTTGCCGTCGGCGCGCTTGTAGACCGTCACGACGACGGCGCCGCCCAGGCCAAGATTGTGCTGCAGCGCGGCCTTGGTCCGCGGCACGGCGCGGTTGTTCGCCCAACCGCGCAGGTGCCACACCAGCTCGGCGCACTGCGCGATGCCCGTCGCGCCGAGCGGGTGGCCCTTGGAGATGAGTCCGCCGGACGGGTTGACGACGTACTTGCCGCCATAAGTAATATCCCCGCGGCGGACGAGCTCGTGCGCCTTGCCGGGCTGCGCGAGGCCAAGCGAGTCGAGGACGATCATCTCGTTGGCGGAGAAGCAGTCGTGCAGCTCGACGACCTGGATGTCGTTCTGCGTGACGCCGGCCTCGGACAGGGCGGCCTTGACGGCGTGCTGCGTCATCTCAAAACCCATGAGGTCGATGGCGGAGCGGGAGAAGAGCGAGGGGGCGTCGGTGGCGAGGCACTGGCCCGCAACGAGGACGGCCTGGTCCTTGAGGTGCGGGCGCTCATCAAGAAACGCCTGGGAGACGAGGACGGCCGCGGCGCCGCCGTCGGAGGTCGGGCAGCACTGCAGCTTGGTGAGAGGCGCAAAGATCTCGGGGGCCTTGAGGATCTGCTCCTGGGTGTAGACGTCCTGGAACTGGGAGTAGGGGTTGCGGGTGGAGTGCTCGTGGTTGATGCGGGCGATCTCGGCAAAGTCCTCGGGCTTGGCGCCGTGCTTCTCCATGTACTCGCGGCCGGCGTTGCCGAACATCTGGGCGGCGCCGGGGGAGTTCGTGATGCCGCGGGTCTCGGCCATCATCTTGATGGAGGTGCCGGTGGGGTTCTCGCGGTCGTTGAAGAAGCTCTGCAGGCTGCCGGGCATCATCTTCTCGAAGCCGACGACGAGGACGCAGTCGGCGGCGCCGGAGGAGACAAAGGTGCGGGCCATGGCGAGGCCAGTGCTGCCGGTGGAGCAGTTGTTGTTGACGTTGTAGATGGGGATGGAGGTCATGCCGAACTGGTAGAAGACGCGCTGGCCGCAGGTGCTGTCGCCGTAGCAGTAGCAGGCGACGCCCTGGTCGACGTCGTCGTAGTTGATCTGGGCGTCGAGCATGGCCTTGACGCCGGCCTCGAAGCCCAGCTCCGTGTAGTCGACCTTGCCGCGGGGCTTGATGAACTTTGTCATGCCGACGCCGAGGACGTAGCACGGCGCCTTTTCGCGTTTCTGTCGGGGGGCCATGTCTGCGGTTGGTGTGTTGATGTGTTGGTGTTGTTTGTTTGGTGTTCAATTCGAGTTCGACTTGACGTGAGTGGAGGTAACAACAATCAAGGAAGAGAGACAACTGTGTTTGGTGGGTTGATGTTGGGGATATATTCAAGCCGAGCCTATGTAAAGTGATATGTCAAGTGACATGTGCTTCAATGAATGAAGTTGCAGCAGAAGGGAAGCTTTCGCCGCCCCCTCAGGACCCCGGCCGAGCCCCCGGGATGAGCTTCTCCAGGTTTTCCCCCCCTTTGCTCCCCCCAAACGGCCCCAATTCCGCCCTCCCGCAGCCGCCAAAGCAGTGGGAGCAGTGCTAAGGGACAGCTTCGATGCGGGGAAACAGCGTCTCGAAGCAGCACAATGCCGAGGCCCCGGGCGCCACAACGTCGAGCCGCAGCTTGCTGTCCCCTGTCTCTGTCTTGCTTAAGGGCCAATCAGGGGGCATGCCGAGGTAAATCGGCCCTGTAACAGGGGGTCTAGCTAAGGCACCTCCAGTGTTAGTGAGTGCCCCATGCGGTAACCTTCTCGTCGGTGCTGGGACGGAGCCATGACTTCACTGACTCGAAGCTGGTGATTCAGTGACATTCTCGTCTCGAAATCATCTGACGGGATTTATCAAGGGTTTGTCTAAGGAATGATTACTAACTAAAAAACTATTCAAGATTGACTCCATCGTGGCAATCGTCATCATCATCAACATCAACAAACTCCCTACTCCATCTTCCCCTTCACCCACTCCTCGACCCGCTGCTCAATCTCGGGAACATACAACCACTTCATCTGGCCCTCTCCCTCCTCGAACCAGACCTCGTCCCTCCCAAGCTTCTCCATCTCCTGCGGCGGCAACCTCTTGTTGTTCAGCTTCTTCGTCAACACTACCAAATCCCCGAGCCTCTCCCTCCTCATCGCCTCCCACAACCCAACTCCCTCCGCCCACCCGATCCGACCGCCGCTCTCCTTCACCCTCTTCAACACCAGCGCCAGACTCGCCGCATCCTCTAACGCCATCGACGCGCCCTGCCCCGTTGTCGGCGGAATCGCATGCGCCGCATCCCCCAACACCAGCACCCGCCTCCCCTCTTCCGCCGACGACGTCCACCGCTCCAGCGGCGGCAGCATGTAAAACGGCCACACGTTCATCGTCTCGTCCCGGATCGCGCCCAGCGCAGACCTCACAATCCCAGGCCACCGCTCCTCATCCCGCCGCAGCCGCGCTTTCAGCCCCTCCTTGTCCGCGAGGAGCTCCTCCCGCCCGCGCCCGGCCTGCGCCTCGTCGAACGGCACCTGCGTCCCCGCCAGCATCTCCCCGCCGTCCGGCCGCTGCGGCGCCAGCACAAACACCCCGTTCGCGCTCGCCACGCTCACCGGGAACTCGTACCCCTTGTCCGCCGGGATGCGCAGCTCCGCCGTCGGCACCGCGAACGTCAGCGCCGCGAGCCCAACATACCCCAGCTTCGCATCGGGCGCGACGTGCGCCCTCCGCACCTTGGAGTGTATCCCGTCCGCGCCCACGAGCAACCCCGCGCTCCGCCTCTCGCCGCCCTCAAACTCGAACTCGACGCCCGTTTCCGTCTCCGCGACGACCTTGACAAAGCGCATCCCATGCTCGATCCGTACCCCGCGCTCCCGGCATGCGGCCGCCAGCAGCTCCACCAGCTCCTGTCGGAACACCCGCACGGCGCGGTACCCGAACTGCGCCTCGCCGCCCATCGGGTACCGGTCGACCGTCTTCTCGTCGCGGTCCTTGTAGTAGACGTAGTCGAACGGGTACGCCTGCGCCAGCAGCGGCGTGTAGAGGTCCAGCCCGTCGAGGATGCGCAGCGCGTTGGGGCAGAGCATCATCCCGCCGCCCGCGTGGTGCGGTAGTGGAGTCTCTGGGCGCATCTCGTAGATTGTGGAGGGGATGGAGTGAGATGCTAAAGCGAGGGCGAGGGCCATGCCCGCGATGCCGCCGCCGATGATGGCGACTTCGTCTCTGGTGGAGGACATATCTTTTGCGTGAGACGTCTAGTGTGTGTGTGATCTTGAGTGACGTGAGAAAAGAGTGCAGATTTATGTCTAAGTTGTGATGATGCTCCAAGTGATGCTAAACAACAACCCAAAAGACCTCACCGTCTTTATACCATTTCCCATCGCCAATATCTCCCTCAAGGCCACATCATCCCCTCCATCTTGGTAATCCCAAAAAGCCACCGCGGCAATCCTTTCCTCCCTCTCCCAATGAACGCTCCAAAACCACCAAAAAGCAGAGCCACTCGAGCATCGCCAAGTTCCCACCGTAAGCCGTCTCCACTTCTCGGCCGACCAACATTACGAATCGCCAAATACAGTCTAGTCTCCGTTCTCTCCTCCGTCGCTGTCCCCACCCCGCCCGGAACCCGGCCGAGTCCCGGACTTGCCGCACCTCTCAAAAGTCCGAAACCGAACCCGGTGAAGGGGTACTCCCCGTTCGCCCAAACAAACCCCCCCTCCTCTTTCCCTCCCTCTCTTGATGCAATCTTTTTTAGCATCTAAGGAGGGACATAGCTAGTTATCCACCAAACAAAACAACTGTGCTCCCCCAACCAAACCACACACACCACCACCCACCCGCTACACACCCCCCTACCCCTCCAAAAACCCAAACTCGTAACATTTATCAGACCGAAAGAGCGGCCAAGCGAACACTTCCCTCCTCCCATGTCCCCTGCCTCACAAGCCGCCCTGCCTTTTTCCCTGTCCACGGTTCACTCACCTCGGCGCACCGAGCTGGTAAATGGGAAGAAGAGCAGCAACCTCAGTCCGTACTGTGCATCATCATCCCCGCTTCCCCCGCCCCCACTCGGCCGACAAACACTCGCACACACTCACGAGCAACAACATGTGGGCCCGCCCGAACCTTCCCCGACTTACACACACACACACTCACATACATACAACACCTCCACACACACACAGGCATACCTCCCGCGGAAGCACCGACATCATGAACATCATCATCGTCACCATCACAACACAGAGATCAATCAAAATAGCCTCAGCTCTCTTCCCGAATAACCTTACAGACGAACAAAACCCAATTAAGAACAACCCAACAGAGGTGAAGGAGGGGCGTACCTCCAAACGGTTCAAACGGCCCCTCCTCCCTGACCCGCTCTGCTCTCTTTACCTCTCTCTGACGGCTACCACAAATCGTCGATTCCGTCATGCATCCCAAATCTCTTCTCTTCTTTTTTTTGGTTGTGCTGGTAGCAAGAGCCGTTCGATGCTTTTGCTGACCTTATGCTGACATCTCATCTCCAAAAAACTCTCCTCACAAACCGGACATGGGACATCAAATCGCATTCCACCTTTCCTTACCTGTTACCCGTCCGCGCATCCTTTTTCTCTTTTCCCGGCCGGTGCTATTTCCGCTCCGAGCTCCGTGTGAGTTTTCGGTCGGTCCGCGAAAGTTGGCGCTTTGTAAGCTTTTACCGTCGGGCGGTGCAACTCACTCAACTCGGCCGGGCGGTGGTCATCTGTCTCGGCCGATATAGCAAGCTTCAGCGGACATCACGGGCGAGAGGATCGCGCGATTCGGCCGATACACATAGCGTGTCTCTCTGTTGCTCGGGGCACTAGTTTGCGCCATGGGGATGATCATGATCCTTCCTGTATCGGCCGAGAAGCTGAGAAAGGCCAGGCTGGTGAAGTGGCTTGCAATAGTATGAACATGATGTGTATAAGAGAAGCGATCGAGTTGCTCCCCAATCGTCTCCAAATTCTAGCATCATCAACTGAGCTTACACGCATCTTTCCACACAAAGCCATTATTACTATCCATCAAATCATTCATCCATCACCAATATGCACTTCCTCATCCTCGGCGCAACGGGCCGCAACGGCTCCCTCATCCTCACCGAAGCCCTCTCTCGCGGCCACACCGTCACCGCCCTCGTCCGCACGCCATCCTCCTCCTCTCTCCCCCCACAACCACAACCCAATCTCACCCTCGTCCCCGGCAACCCCCTCTCCCTCCCGGATATTCGCACCGCCCTGCAAAACCCCAGGGCCCCCGATGCGGTCATCGTCGCACTCAACCCCCGGCGCGTATCCGACTCCCCCTTCGCCGCGCCGCACCCAGACACCCCCGACTCGCTGATGCACGACGCCGTTCGCAATGCCTTGGAAGGTATGAAGGCCGCCGGCGTACCCAAGATCGTCATCAACAGCATGCAGGGCGTCGGCGCCAGCAGCAGCAGCCTCATCATGCCCTTCCGCGTGCTGTTCGAGCACACCAACATGAAGTACACCCTCGACGACCACCGAGCCGTCGACGCGCTGGTCACCGGGAAGCAAGGCGAAGGCGTGGACTGGGTGTTGGTCCGCCCGCCTATGCTTACCGAAGGGGATGCCTTGCCCGTCAAAGACTACGGTGATGACGGCAAGGGTATATGCTGGATGCCCAAGATCACCAGGAAGAGCGTCGCAGTGTTCATGGTCGACGCCGCGGAAAAGCCTGATTGGAACCGCCGGGCGCCGGTTATTGCGAACTAGTCGGAAAAGGTCAGACGAAGGAGTAGTCCACTGAGTTTCTATCAGGTCAGAAAACGTTGGCTGGATGAGCCTTGTATAATGTAATGCTTGCTTGGGAAACGCCACCCATGCCCTCCCTTTTTGGTGTCCTCCGCTGCTTTGGTATCGTCGGTATAGTAATATTTACAAGTTTCTTTCGTATGCTTTTTCCAACCCGCCGGGGCGTTTTCGTGTTTGCTCTCTCCACTGCCGGGATGGCCTTGGCCGCCCATTCCCCAGCATCCCTCTCCTTCCTTGCAACGCAGTGCAGAAATACACTTGTTGTGAATTATGTCTGCTGATGTTGATGCTGTATCGGCAGATGTGCTCGGGTCAAGTAAAACATGTGATCGGTGACCGTATGGAGACAGCGTCGCAGGCCATCGCTGCTCCGTCCCGCAAAAGCCGCGACGACTCCGTTATTTTTTCCAGGTTTCTGTGCCGCGGTAGGATGGCGGCGTCGTTTGTTGTAACGTCCATACTAGCGGACCCAAACCCCTCCAGAACACCATGGGTTCCATTGCGCGGAATTCGTTGGGGTTATCCGACCCTTTGGGTCGGATCCCTACTCCTCAACCCCGCATATGTTTATTAGGAAGGTCCCGGTATCATTGGGTTCCAGTAATCCAGGTCCCAATCCGCATAATCATCCGGAGTCTGCCGACCACGAATCAGCCCAGTCCCAGCCTTCCCACAGCTGCCAGCCGCCATAGTCACTTACCGCAGCCGTCGACGCATTCGCATGGAACATGAATGGCGCTCTCGTCTGCATGTAGGGGTCCATTGGATCGGCTGGCGTCGTAACTGGCAGGGACATCTTCTCGGGGTTGGTGTTGGTGGCTGTCTTGCAAGCGTCCAGAACGCTTTGGAGACTGCGTCGAATGTCCTGCAGTTTTTGCTCCTGGTTCGTGTATTGCACCGATGATAGAACAACGGAAAGTGCAACAATGTCCTTGACGTCGTTGCCGCCAACGTTGCGGACGAGCAAGTTGAGCGTTTTCTCCACAGTCTTAATCAAGCGCGACGGGGACCAAAGCGCAAAAGTCTCGGTGCTGAACGCAACACCGTCGTCCATCGGATCGGGAGACATGGCCACGGTCGATGAGATCCCCAGAGTGTTGCCATTGGCGTGCGACTCTATCGCTGCTTTGATGTAAAAGCACACACTGAAAGCTGCCTGCAAGATATCCTTCTTCAAAACCATGTGGTACATGTCGCTGATGTCTTGGAAGTGGGTGAGCAGGGGGTCGAGTTCGTCGAGGTATCGCATAATGACCATGGATGACCGTAGGTATGCTCTAGAAATCTGCGACGGCGCGTCTGGCAATCCTAGGGCGAAGGGGCGGTAGAGTGCCAACAAGGGCCGTCGCACGTGCATGTCGAGTATGACCCTGGATCGCCACTGCTTGCTCTTTTCAACCTCGTTCAAAATGCCGTGGCGCGGGAACAAGTAGTTAATGTCCTCCAAGAATCTATCCAGTTTCGTTCCAACCTCGAGAACCTCGCTGTAGTCCCTGATCGAATCGACGCGGTTGATCAAGTGCGCAACCTGCATTCGTACCCCTAGAGTCATAGCAGCATATACCTGCATCTGATTATCGGTGAGCTGATCGATTGGCTTGCTGGGCGGCAGCTCTTTCATCTCGAAGAACAGGTCCTTGTCGTCTAGGTTTCGTGGTGGTCGGCAGGTAAAGTCTCCGTCGCGAACGAGACACGAGAGGTTGCACGCCAGCGACAGGTGCAGGTCCATGTCGAGAATCGTGAACCACAGTCTCCTCCTCAGCTCGCCGAAGAACACCGGTACTCTCGGTTCAAATTCCGACGGGTCTCGGTGCAAGCCCATCGTCATGGCCATCCGAACGATGTATCCCAACTGTGCCCAAGAATCCTGCGGTCGCGGTGTTGTCATTCTCTGCGCGTGAACCAGTAGAATCTCCGTCTGCAAAGTAGTCAAGTCAACCAGCTGCTTGCCCTTCAAACCGTCCAGCCATGACCTGACAAGCGCACATGCCGTCGGAATGTGTACGCCCTCAACGCGTTCGTGGCCAAGCCCTTTCGATTTCGTCTCAAATCTTGAACCGATGGACAAGACCGTCAGAAGCTGGGGGAGAAAAGCATCCCCCGGCAATTTGCCTTCCCAGAATAGCTCATGTTGCTCCTTAAAGGTGGGTACGTGGATCATTCGGTAAATGGTCTCGGAGGTGTCGATGTAAGACGTCAGCAGTCTGTCGCAGATGGCCTTCTTGGGCAGAATATCCTGCATGCGCTTCATAACAGGCACTACCGAGTCGGCAAAGACGGATATCGGCGATAGTGACTTTCGGTACTCTTCTTGGATCCTCTTGTGAAGCACCTGCAAGCCATACATGATGTCTCGAATACCGTCGATCTTAGACTGGTTTGCCATGAAATCCTTGGCTTCGTCGAACTGGGAGGGATCGGTTAGGGGCACGATCTAGGGGAATATCGGGTTAGGGGATGTAGTTACCAGGTTCAGCAAGACACGTACGCTATTCTGACCAAAAAAGCGCGTTCTCAGAGCGCCTCTCTTTACCGTCAGTCCTCGTATTGTCTCTGGAGATAGCGGCAAACGCTGGCCAGCTCCGCTGAACTCGGTGCCTGCCGGGCTCTTGATCATGAACTGCTTCTCCAAGCGATCCAGTCGCGAGGTGAGCTCCTCTAGTGCAGAGTGTCCGGTTCCCTCTCCATTGCGCTGAGGGGCGAAAGATGACGATTCCGCCGGGTGCGGTCCTGAGGAGGGCGCCCCGGTGGGAAGACAGTTCCTCTTTGCCGGGCGTTGGATGTCACCAACCTCGGCATCGGAGCCGTCGGACAACATGGACGAGTCCTGTTCGGCAGCATACTTGCAGTTGCGGTGTGACTTCTGGCATTGGGAGCAAGGAAGATTTCGGTCACATCGCAGCTTTCTCTTACGACATTCGGTGCACGACTTGACGGGTCGCGGCCTTTTGACACTGCGCGATGCCGACGCCGTTGCCGCCGCCGAGGCTGCTGATGGGCCGCCCGCAGGTAAAAGGCCCGATGCAGGCACAGGCGTAGGTGCAGAACTAGGAACGCCGCCGCCGAGCGTCTGATGGGCGGGCTGAGAAGGAGATGTCTCGTACGGAGGAGGTGCGGAGTGCATCGGGCCCATTGGTGAAGCAACCGCAGTGAGGTTCGGATTAGAATGCAGCGTCGTCGTGGTTGTGGCCGCGCCCAGTTCCGGGGCAGACGAGGTTGCGGCGGCCATCTGAGCCGTTCGTTACAATAGTCCCAGAAAAATTTCCGTTCGGCACCGGTGTAGGAGGATTCTGGCGGTAGCGCAGCGCAGCACACAAAACGGCACACCACAGCAATGCAGCGGCGGCAGCAGTGGCTGGCTTCGATATTTGAAGCTCAAGAAAGCCCGTCGGCTCGGAGTTGTTTGAATCGGCGCGAGCTGGTTGTGGGTAGATTGCTTGTCAGGAGTAACAGCAACAGCAATAACAGCAACAACAGCTACAGCTCTAGATTGGCACAGTGGTCAACCTTGTTCTCATCGAAGGTCCCGGGCGCGTCTGGGGTCGCCTCGGATCCGGAGTGTGTTGCTTGTCCTTGACTCTGACTGGTGTCGAGTCATTCGCAGACCATACATGCTGTGACTGCGCGGGTGAGAACTGAAGGGGGGTGTGTGGCGTGGGCGCAAGCGAGAGAACGAGCGACGGGTCAACGGAAAGGAGTTGCTGCTGGAGGCGTGTTGTTGGTCGAGCTTGCTTGTTCGCTTGCTTGCCAGCTTAGTAGTGGAGGTGTACGGTGTGTAACCGACGGGACGGGATACGGGTGGCCGTCTCTCTCTCAGCGTGTCTTTTGTTCCTTCGTAACTGACCAGTGTCTACTGGGGTTTGAACGACGAGTCCGAGATTTGTCGTCAATGAAGCAGACGAAAGCTCCGGATGTGATGGAGGTAGCAGGTGAAGAAGGAAGTGGAGGAGAGGAGAAAGGAAAATTGGATTAGGGAAGGAAAAAAAAGAGAGACCAAAATTGCTAGTTGCAATGATCCAAGCTTCCTCGGGGCTTTGGGGTATGGTGCGGCGGTGCCGTGCCGTGTGGTCCAGTCAAGACCAGTCCAGTGAGTGTGCTTGCTCTTGCTTCGTCTATGGCAGCAAGGTAAGGCATGGACAGCAAGGCAAGGCCCTTCTTTCTGAAATGTGTCGGACGTGGATACCTGGGAGGTATTCCGTGGAATAAGGTAATAACGGCCTGGATAGCGCCTACTTGTTGGTTTTGATTTTGCCTCCTAGATCCCTCGCGTTGGTGGTGCGTGAGCTTTGTTGAGGCGTGGTGGTCGTGGTGGTGCTGTGCGTGTTGACCAGGATAAGAGATGAGGGACGATGGTGCGCCTTGCTCTGGCTTGCCATGAATGTGCGTTGGATATGTGTGTGATGCGTGTGCTCTCTTCTTTCTCTCTTGTCTTTCTCTCTTGTCTTCCTCTCTCTCGCTCTCACTCTGCTCTCTCTCTCACACACACACAGGTCGGGAGCCGGGGTTGAGTCTCGAGAGCGGCGTGATATGCTCAGGATGGCCGAGGAGAGATGGAGAAAAGTGTCGAATGTGCAGGGACACGGTGCCCTGGTCAGGCCTGGCCTGGGCTGGGCTGGTTCGCAGTGGACGGGACGGGAAGTTTGGAAGGTTGAGGTAAGGTAGGCCCAGGGAAAAGAAGGTCGAGGTGGTGTGGTTAGTGATGATTTAGTGATCCACCCCCCTTCTCGGCGGTTGTTCCAGGCCACTTCAGATTGGAGGTGAGAGGGAGGGTACGTAGAAACCTGGTCTATGCCGGGGTGAGGTAGGTAGGGTACTGATATCCTCCTTCAAAGAACGATTCTTGTATCCGTAAGACCAAACCCCTCCTCCTCCTCTTCTGAAGCCTGTCGTCTGCTGTCTGTCGTTTATGCTGGAACGGCAGGCCGGCTGACAGCGGATTACTTGCGTCTTGTCGAGACGAA